GAGCAGGAGGAGGAGGAGGCGGAGGAGGAGGAGTAGGAGGAGGAGGAGGAGGAGGGGGATGGGCCAAGCAACGCCTGGATCGCGGTGAGGAGGGGCGGACGGGCTCCAGCGGCCAGGGCAGCCTCGACCTCGGGCTCCTAAGCTGCCCCAGCCTGCGCAACTTCACGGCGTGCCGGGTCCGCCCGAGGCGTTCCCGCCGGCCGCGCTTCCCCCTCGCCGCCTCCCGCCGCACGCACCGGCGGCGGTCTCGGTCCTCCCGCGGAAGCCGCGGGAGCCGGCTGCCGGGCGCCGTACCGCGGACTGCACGTGCGCTCGAGGGGCGCACGCGCTCGCACGAGCAACAAGTCGGGCCTGTCCCCCTCTTACAGGAGGAGCATTCAAAAAAGCAGTAACAGACATAGTCTTGGGACGATTGCTGCTTCATTGTTTGTTTCTTTTCGGATGTTGTTTGGCCGTTCTTGATTTGTTGCTCAAAATCCGCTTTTAGGGGGACATGCCCGACCTAACGCTTGCACGAGTGCGATGAACACGCACACAGGCCCGCGCGCCCAGGCGAGAAGGCCTCCCCTCCATCACTCGCTTCGCGTGTCCCCCCCCCCCCCCCGCCTCCCAACCGCACTCCCTTCCCCCTCCCTCTCCCCACGTTTCCTGGCTTTTCCCTCCTCTCCCTCTCCCTCCCCTCCCTCCCTCCCCGTGCTCCGTACGCACCCTCATCATCCTTTTTCTCTCCTCTTCCTCCATCCTCACTCCCTCATTACCATCCATCCTTCCCCTCCTCCTTCTCGACAGGTAATTGCACCATGCAAATACGACTCTTCTCGAACCTGGCCATGTCCTAGAAGTATCCCGCCCTCCTCACATGATTTCAAACATTGGTGTATCGTATGTCTGAACGTTGTCGATGTATCAGGCGTTAGGAAGCGGGCCGCCAGGCCCGCGCGCTCCCCAGATAGGCACCCTGCGCGGGAGAGACGGCAAGGGACAAAAGGCACGGACACGCGACGGCAGCAGCAGCGAGGGCAGAGGAGAGAACCATCCGACCACCTCGCCTCAAAACCCCTGACTACCTCCCGCCGTCCTCCTCCTCTTCCTCCTCCTCCTCCTCCTCCTCCTCCTCCTTCTCCTCCTCCTCTTCCCCCCTCCCCCTTACCCTCCCTCAGGCAAGGACCCCTTGTTGAACCGCAACCGCCCAGCATCCGCGCCAAACACCGCCGGCTGCCGTCCAAGACAGCCAGAGAGCGCCAAGGACCGTCAGAGGACCGCCGAAGACCGCCGAGGTCAGTCAGGAGATCGCCCAAGGCCGCCCAAGGCCGATGGGTAACAAGCGGACAACGGTCGAACGCGTAGCCTTATGATGTTCCAACCTTTTTTAGCCTTGACCACCAGGAAGAATTTCGAGCCCCCCAGAAGTACCGAAACTCGAGGCTCTTCGCGTGCTGGCCCCTGGAAGGCACTCGTCCGACATGGTTTCGACACGCATTCGACACTTTTCCGGGTGCTCGAAAACATTTCTGGGACGTGGTTGCGGGCAGTGCTTATATCCATATCCAGGGCGTCGTGGACTTTTGGGGAAGAGGTGCCGCAACGCCGAGGCGCACTGGATATGGATAAAATCAAGCCTCTTGGGGCCAGATGTTTATCCATATCCAGTGCGTCTACGGTTTCTGGGGAAGAGAGCCCAAGCATCCAAGACGCACTGGATGTGGATATAACTATTGCCCGCAGTGGTCCTTCAGTGAGATGGGAGCCACGGAAGCGCAGCCTTCCTCCCCTCGGCTCCTGCGCGCGGGCCCTGGGCCGCCGGCGCCGCTCCCGAGGAGTCGAGGAGCCGCTGCGGCGCCTGGCGGAGAGGGCCGCCGATACCGCCGGCGAGCTGGGCTGCATCGGGGTGGGCGCCTCGGGCGTCGGCACGATCGAGCCACTTGGCAGCGCTCGGACGTGTGCAGTTTTCTCGGCGGGGACCATCGAGGAGCATCTTTGATCATGTAGCGAAACATGCACGCACGGAATCGAAACATGCACGGGGAATGGACGTCCGGGCGATGGCGAGACCACCCCCAGCGCGCCACGCGGCCATCGCCACGCTCGCACGCCGAAGTGCACGCCTCCAGCTCGGAGCGCCACCCGCGCAGTGCCACCAGGGAGTGCAGTTTTGCTTCAGAAAGGCGGCAGCGGGATCGCAAGCGAAGAGGACGACGGGATGAGTATGGTGATGGTGGAGCGGATAAAGTGGAGGGGGGAGCATCATAATAGTGATAACGACGACAAGGAAGAGGATGAAACAGAGGAAGACCAGTGCGTAAACTTGTGAGCAACTGCCACAAGAGAAGGTGAGCCGCCAGCCGGAGAGACCGAAGAGGAGGAGACCAGAGGACCGCGTGATGCTGGGGCCAGGGTGCGAGCCCTGCGGTGCAGCAATGAGCTGGAAGTCTCGCGAGCCTTTCGGGCGAATGGCCTTCTCCCGCTTCGGGGAGGGATTTGCCCCTCCCCTCACCCCATCCCCTGGATCTAAGCGGGGGGGGCCCGAGATCCGGCGTCCAGGATGGCTCACGATGGCCGCAAGTTGCCCCTGAGAGCAAAGGCGGCCTCCAAGATGATGCAATATAGCCCAATCAGTGATATGGCCCTACATGACCTCCAGCGTGTTTTCCAGACGCTCCCTACTCAGCCCAAGACAGTTCCAAGTGGCCACGGATGCCTCCAAGGAGACCCGTAGGGGAACCATTTCGTGTCAATTATGTTTGTTCTGTCGGAAAGGCGGCCCGAGATCGACCGTTTTGAGTGAACTGGCTTGGCCCTAGATTTTCAATCTCCAGAGGGGCAGTGCTAGTCGGCGCCGTTTTTGTTTGTTGTTCTTCGAGTGCTTCCAAGATGGCCCCCAGAGGGTCCAAGAGGCCCCAGACACTGGGTGCTCAGCGGCAGGATGCCCGAGTCCTGGCCGCTGGGGGGCAGAACAGAACAAGTGCAAGCAACGGCGGAAGCGCCGACAGGGCACGGCCGCAGTCGGATGGCGGCCAACACCGTCGGCTCCCGCCAGAGCCGTCAGCTCCGGCCCCGGGCTTGGAAGCGATCGCCGCCGCGCGGCGGCAGCGAGGGGAGGAGGCGAGCGGAGGCATGCCCCGGAGGCCCCCGAGGTGGCCAGGCAAAGCCGCAAGAGGCCCCCGCACGCTCCCAAAAGGGCGCCGAGAGGCTCCCGAGATGACCACGAGAGGCCTGCAAGAGGCTGCACGCGGCCCCGAAGTCCACGAGGACTGTCGGCCTCTGTCTTCTGTTCGCTCTCTGCTTGTCGGGGCCCCTTCTCCTGGCACCTCGCCTGGGCGTGGCTTTCCTGGATGGGCTGCCGTATTCCGCGTCGTCGCCAGGTTTGCACAGCGGCTGCAGTGGTCCAAGCTCTAAGTCGTCGAATTGCTCGCCCCGACCTGCATCTTCAATCGATGCAGCCGGTGGCTCGCCGAGACGGGTGCCCATCATCAGAATGCTACTCATGGGAGGTCAGATTCAGTATCGGCGGTCGTATCCCCGTGGCCGAAAACCGGCCACATTTGGCATAGTCCCGCTCAGTTCCGCTTCATCGCGTGCAGTCCAGTTTTTTGGGGGCACAATGTGGGCTCCTCTGGCTCGATGGCCTTTAAAGTTGGTTGAGTAGTTCTTGCAGTCGGGATCCATAGTAACGACGGGTAACATTCCCAAGGGTACATTTGCATGCTTGCCTCGCTGGTCCATCCTTAACCGCTTTCGATGGCCAGCTCCGCTCGAAAAGCTTCGACATAGGCATCCTTGGCGCTTGCATCATGATCGTGCGCTCGTACTATCAACTTTGATTGCATTCGTTGTGACGACCTCCAAGGGGTTGCTTCTTGTCGTCGTTGTCCGTGCCGTCACTGTCGTTCTCTGCAACGTCGTTCTTGGCTTCGTGGCCTTTCCTCCTTCAGGAATCGAGGAGGAGGAGGAGGATGAGAAGGAGGAGGAGGAGGAGAAGAAAGAGAGGGGGAGGGGGAGTGGGAGGAGGAGGGGGCGGAGGGGGAGGACGAGGAGCAGGAGGAGGAGGAGGAGGAGGACGAGGAGGCGGACGAGGAGAGGGAAGAGGTAGAGGAGGAGGAGGAGGAGGAAAAGGAGGAGGAGGAGCAGGAGGCAGAGGATGAGCAGGATGAGGAGGAGGAGGAGGAGAAAAGGAGGAGGTCGAGGATGAGGGAGCAGAGGACGAAGAAGGAGAAGGGGAACGAGAAGGAGAAGAAGAAGAAGGAGACTCATCATAGTAAACAGGGGATGATGGTGAGGAGGAGGAGGCCGAGGATGAGGGAGAAGCGGACGGAGAAGTGGAAGGGAAAGGATAAGGAGAACAACAAGGATAATAAGGAGACGAAGGAGAAGGGGAGGACGAGGAGGGCGAGGATGAGGAGGAGGATATGGGGGAGATGGAGAAAGAGGATTAGGGAAAGTGAGGAGGAGGAGGAGGAGGTGGAGTTGGAGGAGGAGGGAGAAGGATGATGATGAGGAGGAGGAGGAGGAGGAGAAGGAGAAGGAGGAAGAGAGCGAGGAGGAGAACGCTGATCAGGAGGAAGACGAGAAGGAGGAGGAGGAGAAGTTGGAGGATGATATGGAGGAGGCCACGTGGAGGGAGAAGAGGACGGAGAAGGAGAGGGGGAATGATAAGTATGATAATACGAATGGTATGAATCAGGTGATGATGCTGCTGCTGCTGATGATGATGATGCTGCTGATGATGATGAGGAGGAGGGGGAGGAGGAGGAGGAGGAGGAGGAGAGGAGGAGGCGGAGGTGGAGGAGAAATGAGGAGGAGCAGGAGGAGGAGGAGGATAACGAGGAGGAGAACCGAGGATCAGGACAACGAGGAGGAAGAGTAGGAGGAGTTGGAGGAGGAGGAAGAGGAGGAGGAAGAGGAGGACGAGGAGGAGGAAGAGGAGGAGGAGGAGGAATGCGGAGGAGGAGCAGAAGGAGGAGGAGGAGCAGAGGAGGATGAGAACGAGGAGGAGAACAAGGATCAGGACAAAGAGGAGGAAGATGAGGAGGAGGAGGAGGAGGATGAAGAGGAGGAGAAGAGGAGGAGGGAGAGGAGTGGAGGAAGAGGAGGTGGAGGAGGAGGAGGAGGAGGAGGAGGAGGAGGAGAAGGAGGTAGTGGTCCTCTCCCGCGGCGGCGGCACGCGGAGGCGGCGCAGCTGCTGCACGCCTGCGCGCAGTTGCGGGCGCTGCGGTCGGACGGTAGGCGCCCAGCTATGCGCGGGGGAGGGGGGGGGGGCAGGGGAGAGTCGGGCGTCTCGTGAGAGGGAGGGATAGGAGGAGGAGGAGGAGGAGGAGGAGGAGAGGAGGAGGAGAAAGAGGAGAGAGGAGGAGGAGGAGGAGGAGTAGGGGAGGGGAGGAGGAGGAGGAGGAGGAGGAGGTGGTGGTGGTGGTGGGGAGGAGGAGGAGGAGGCAGGAGGAGGGAGAGAGAAAGAGGAGGGGAAGAGGGGAGGATAAGGAGGAGGAGGAGGGGAGGAAGGGGAGGAGGGTGAGGAGGAGGAGGAGGAGGAGGGAGGAGGGAGGAGGAGAGGAGGAGGAGAAGGAGCAATGGGAGGAGGGAGGAGGAGGAGAGGAGGAGGGGGAGGGGAGGAGGAGGAGGAGAGGAAGACTACTACTAACTCCTCTCGGGCGAAGTTTCGGAGGAGGAGGAGGAAGGAGAGGAGGAGAGGAGGAGGAGGGGAAGAGGGGAGGCTAAGGAGGAGGAGGAGGAGGAGGGGAGGAGAGGGGAGCAGGAGTTGGAGGAGAGGAGGAGGAGGAGGAGGAGGAGGAGGAATGGGAAAGAGAAGGAGGAGGAAGAGGAGGAGGAGGAGGAGGAGGAGGGGAGGAGGAGGAGGAGGAGGAGGAGGAGGAGGAGGAGGGGAGGAGGAGGAGGGGGAGGAGGAGGAGGGAGGGAGGGAGGGAGGGAGGGAGGGAGGTAGGGAAGCGCAAGATGAGGAGGAGAGAGGCGGAGTTTGAGGGCTGAGCGCGAGGCGTGGCTCGACGATGTGCCCGTTGCCCCGCCTGGAGGCGCAGCGGGTACAGTTTCGTCACCACCGCTGGGTAGTCGAAGGCCAGACTGTCAGATTGGATTGGGCCCCACGGGCCAATCTGGCCTGGTCAGACTGGAGGATTTGGGTTCTTCGCCAGACTGGATTCGCGTTGGCTCCCTCGCCAGATTGCCCCCGTTTGCCAGATTGGGCCTGCCAGATTGGCGCCAGATTGGCTTCGACTACCCAGTACCGTGGATGGGGTGCCCCTTTTGCGAGATGAGCCTGGTGCACCCCCAAACAGGGCCATGCCGTCGTCGAGCGCGGTCATTCGCAGCGTGCTGCAACGCGAGAAGGGGCAAAGCAACGGGAAAGCCACATCGTGCCGACACGGCTGCGACCCCAGCGCGGACGTTCAAGGTTAGACGCTGCCAGTGACCCATAGTCGGCCACTGTGGAGCGATCGAAGAGCCGTCGATCGTTCAGGGATGGAAGATCCACGTGGCTTCATAAACAAGCGCCTGGATCGTCAAGACACGCACCTGCCGTACCTTAGCGGTGCGTAGTGAACAGCCGACGACGGCGGCGACGGCCGCGATGGCGACGGCTGCGACGGCAACGACCTCTGCGTGACGGTCATCGGCCGGCCAGGCTCCTCGAGGGCGTGCTGGCGCGAGCGCGAGGACCCCCCCCCCTTCCCGCCACGCGTGCGGGCCACCTAGGAGAAGCAGGAGGCCTTTGCACCCATCGGATCTGGCTGGGCGCAGATCCCACTGGGCAAACTGGTCGTTGGTGGCAGTTCGAAGGCCGCATTCCGTGCGCCTCGGGGAAAGCGCACGTTCGGACCTTGCTTTGCGGGCTACGTGCCTCTTCTTTCCGTCCTTCGGTCGTCGTGGTCGTGTCCTTTCTCTCCATCTGTCTCGCTATTGCTCAACAGTGCGCGGCACGGGACAAGCTGCGGGGCGGACATCGAGTTGCGTTCCCTGGGCAACAGACAAATCCCTCGGATCTGGGCGCACTTGCAATGTTTCCTGCTTTTCTCCGGTCCAGTTGTACCCCTGGCTGGGCGTTCTCTGGGCGCCCCGCGTCCTTGCGCTCTCCGTTCCTGTCGCTGACGCTGGCCGTACAAGGCGCTCCTGAAAGGGCCTCGCCTTCGAGTAATCGAACTGCTAAAACGGCGACTACTGCTACTACGATTCGCATAACTACCACTTCTATCTATCACTACTACTACTACTACTACTACTACTACTACTACTACTACTACTACGACTACGACTACTACTACTACTACTACTACTACCATTACTACGACTACTACTACTACTACTACTACTACTACTACTACTACTACTACTACCACTACTACTGATACTAATACTACGACTTCTACCACCACTACTACTACTACTACTACTACTACTACTACCACTCTAACTTGTGTTACTGCTGCTACTACTACGACTACTACTACACTTTGTATTATCACTACTACTGTTACTACTACTACTACTACT